CAACATGCTCTGTACCCACATATGGAAACACACTCTAAGTTTCACAGACTCATGGACAAGAAGTCACCTCAGCCTGGGGACGAGCGAAGAATGTGACATCTATGCTAGATGTGGGCAGAAAGAATGCATGTTTGCTGGGATAGCATGTTAGAGTGCACAGTGTGTGTAAAGCAGACTGTGGCATTCTGAGTCCCACATGGCCACACAGTACCACCCTCAGAACCCATGTGAGGGACCGGCGGTCTGGTTTGCAAAGGGATCACCTAAATAAATTCTCCCAGGGATTGACTGCCTTCACTCAAACTCACTTTAAACACCATCAGGTCATTTCCCTGTAAGCCTCACACACCCAGCACAAGCTCCACACTGGCAATAGGATTGGATAGGTGTTTTCTTTGAGTGATTGTCAATTTCACTAACTCTGACATGATGAAGACCTGATGGAATGAAACCAACTCTGATTCCCCTCTGTGTTCATTGTGTCTTAGGTGAGAACCAGGAACGATGCCTGGTTCTCAGATGTGCATAACCAGTGCTACTTCCCTTAAAAAAGTGCATATACTCCTGACCCCAGAGCCTTTAGCAAGTAAATCTCTAAAGGAAACTACTGCCCTATCATGCTTCTGTGTTTCTCTCCAGTGAAGCATAGAGAATACTTTCCCCCACACATAATAGGATTAATCTTTAGAAGCATCATCTTCATAAGCAGGACAAGCCCTGTCTGCCTTGAGGAAAAGATCAGCCATTGGGGTTATTCTGGTGATTTAATATTTTTTCCTTTTCCACCTGACTGAGGAAGGCATTTTTTAGAGCATCACGTGGGAAGTGAATTAAAGTCTTTCTCCCACAACTAATTTTATCTCTTCAGCCACCTCTAGTACTTCATAAGTACATTGCTTACGATAACCTTGAACTGATTATGTCAAATCATTAGAGAATTTTTTACTTCTTTGCCTTAATATAGGGTCTGCTATATTGTTCAGTTTACTGGGCTCAATGGATTCTCCTGCCTCAGCCTCCTATCTAACCAGGACTACCAGTATATACCACAAATTCTTTTAAGCATTGGTTCCTTCACCAATCAGCATTTGCTAACAATTATCTTTATTGAAAAATCACTTACCAGTACCTCCGTATCCTCATTTTGTATAAAAAGATAATACATTAACTCTAGTCCACAATACATAAACTTAAATATTTTCTCAATCATAGATCCTCAGGAAGTTAAATCAGAAGGAACAGAGAACTGGGATGTAGCTCAGTAGTAGAGAACTTGTGTAGTATGCACAAGGCCCTGGGTTCAATCCCCAGTACTGCAAAAACAAGAAGAGAGGGAAAAAACGAAGACCTAATAATCATCACCCAGTCAAACTCAGCACTATCTACTGTGACCATGCATGAACTTTATCTTCATATCTTTGAAATCTTTATACTTGATTTCAAACAAAAATCCTTGAAATAATGACTTGAGTGGGCACCTGTGCTCGCAAGGATGCCACAGGCTTCTCCCTCTGAGTGATGCTTAGTGCTCCACCGCCACTGCTGGACACTTGTGAACTAGAACAAGAGCACCCTCAGCCCAGTCAGCTGAAGCCCCGTCCCCCCCAGTCTGATCCTGTGCAGAGTGGTGAGTAGGCCAGGGTGTGTGTGCCGGCTTTCACCAGGACAGCGTGCGGGGACACAGGCGCTGAGCTCAAGACTTTGGACAAGTGTTACTTCACGCAACAGCTCATTTTCATCCCCTTATCCTCCAAAACACTTTGCCTTTTGAGATGAATGCAGTAGAAACGTGGTATGGAAGAGCAGGGTCATATCTACGGACCAGGGGCTTTTCTGAGCCAACACCTAAAGAGTATAGCCACAAGGACTATAACCATGCAGGCCCATAAGCCCCTGTGCAACTGGAGTGCCAGCTGCAACTCAGAGCTGCTGCGCTGCAAGCGCCCACAGTGAGCATGCAGAGAAACCAGTCTGTTAGAACCGCTCCTCTTGTGTCTTCTTCCAGAACTCCTCCTAACCCTGTGAGGAAACTGAGTTAATTCCTGGCACGTGAGCTGTTCCAGGGTTCTTCTTATCCAGGCCCTGGTCATACAGCTGTATGGAAGTGGGGTGACACTATGGAATCCCAGCATCTTTTAAGGATGGCTGTGAATGATGCCCCATTGGGTGAAAGAGGAGGAGTAAGTCATGTAACTTCAGTGAGACAGACTTTTCTTAAGTACTAAAATAAATAATAATTAAATTATTCAAATAAGATAGATAAACCCAAGTTTAGTAAATAGAAAGCCAAACAAAACCTGTATTCCCAGCTACTCCAGAGACTGAGCAGGAGGATCACTTGGGCCCACAAGTTCATGATCAGCCTGGGAAAAACAAATAAAAGTTACAATGCATGGGAAGTTCTTGTCTAATAATAGTCACTCAACTAGTAGTGGGTGGAGTGGGTATGGTTGTTTTCTGTTTTAGCACATACAAATAATGGCCCAGACACTTTACTTTTCCAAGTTGAAAACTACATAAAAGCAATTATATACTCACAACAAATCCATTGGTATAAATAATTTTATTCTACTCTTTGATTTGGAAATAAAACATTTTGTTTACCATTGAAAAGTTTGTATTTGATTCCCAACTTACCATATTGTTTGGTGATATTTAATTTTTATGTATAATATTTGAAAGTTACTGCTTTACAGATATATGACCTTATATACTATTAGTGTCAACAGTAGTGGTACACTTCTTCAAAGCCCCTGTTTGCATTTTAAAGGCATGGTGTTTCCAGGAAAAGGTCCTCAAGGCATTGCTCTTGCTGCGAGCCTGCTTAGTAAATGGGAAAAGGATGGAGAGCTTGAGTTGTGTGGTTAAGTTAGCTCAGAAACACCAATATCATTACCAAAATCAGGAACACACTTCTGCAAATTAGTTGTAGATGTTAAGTGAGGGCTGTTTCAATAACTTTTCGGAGTGCCTCATTGGGTATGCAGCGGAGCTAAGACTGGGACTCACGCAGCAGGCAGATAAGGGAGCAGGGTGCAGCGGGGTTTTGTTTTGTTTTTTTTCTCATGGTGGGAAAATGAAGATGTGGACACTTTAATTTGGTATTGGAGGCATGGGTATTGGAGAAAAATCAAAGACAGTTTGCATTTTTTTTGGATTTTAAAGAATAATAAGCATTTCTTACTGGGATAAGATGAAAGAATACTCCAAGTAGAAGGAAAAACTAAGTTGGAAGAAACAAGGACTAAAACTTGCTAACTACATGTGGTGGGAATGGCTGTTCACCACCTGATGTTCCCCAGCAGACTACGCTGGACGGAAGGAGGGCCCAGGAAAGGATCTGCTGATGGAGAGAGAAGCTTTTTGGGAAACAAAAATACTAGCTTTCCACACTCAGCCTTCTTATTGAGTCTCAATACATTCTATTTTAGTGTTTCCTATTGATATAAAGAAAACCTGAGGCTGGGTAATTTGTTAAGAAAAGATGTTTAGCTCAGAGTCCTGGAAGTCTGAGAGCTGGGCTCCAGGCAGGGCCTGTGGGTGCTGTGGCCTTCGTGTGATACACATCAGAGGGTCGTACAGCAAGACAGGAAGCTGCAGGTGGGGAGGGGTAATGCCCTGCTCTGAGATACCAAGGCAGGCACACAGAAACTCCCATGACCCCCCATCTGTGTTACTCTCCCCAGAGACCCAGTTATGTCCCACTAGTGTTCACCTCTTGAAGGCTTCACCACCTCTTGCTGCTGGCACCTTGGGAGCCACACGTCTAGTATGTGAAACCTGTGTGCTCACTCATACTTTGTCTCACTAGGACACACACCACTGGGGACGGGGCATAGCACACCACCTCCGTTGCTGTGTGTATGATGTAGTCATGCTTACTTGGACTGCAAGTCAAAGAATATTATTCCTTTGCTTTTCCTATGATTTTTTAAATGCCTGTATGCACTATTCCCTTCAAATAAGTTACATATTTCCAACCCTTCTTTCAAGAGGGCAACATCAATTATACAAAAAATAGTATAAGATTCAGAAAACTCCTGGTTTGGACTTATTTAGAAGAATGGATTGGCAAACTTGCCAGTGATAGTACATCTAAGTAGCAGGTAACTAATGATGTCAGAGGACACAGTAAGAAGCACTGTCCATGCTGACATAAGTGCTGTGTAGTTAGCTGAACAGCTTCAGTGCTCTGGTCCATGAGAAGAAGCACGGCTACATCAAGTCCCCAAACGCACAGAGCTTTCACTTTTAGTACTGTGGATGTGAAAACATTCTTAAAACTGGCTCCAAGTTATCTTCCACTCCCTTGGAAGCAATTCATTGAATAAAGTCTTCATATTGTTGAATAGGGCTGGGTATATGCTCAGTAATGCAAATGTTTCTGGTGGCTTTATTAGATTTGCACTGGAATGTATTTGTCTACATATAAGAATATATTGTTTTGACAAGAATAGTTCAACTTAATAAACAGCGTTACCCAATGGTTTATGCCCCACCTCCACTTTGTGACCAGTATCATATCTTTTACAAGTAGCTAGCTAGAGTTTCAGGGAACTAATTAAGTCATTGAACTGAATGGAAATAGAACTGACAGTCTTGGTCTCCCTGTGTTCTTCCTGTACATTAGATCTCATGACACAAGCATGTCTGAGTCTGTGCATTCATGCATAAGTATGGATGTGTGTTTATTGCAGCCCCCATTAGTCTAAAAATGACTGGAAGTTGTTAGAATTGTATCTTAATGCAGAGCAGTCAATAGCAGTAGTGGTGAACATATGTGTTTCTTTTAAGACAAAAGGTATTAGTATATGACTTGTATTTTCTAAACTAAAACCTTAGTATTCAGATCAATTGCAGTGTTGGCACTTTGCAATAAATCTGTGGCCTTGGGGTTACGATTTGGGCACTTTTTCTAGACTGTTATCATAGTCTATAGGCAGCATGTAAACATGCAATTTTCTTATAAATTTAGCATTGTCTTCTGTTTCCTCTCTCAGCTGTGAGGAAGAAAGCCAGCTTTATCACTCCAGTCCCCGGAGGTGTGGGCCCCGTGACGGTGGCGACTCTTCTGAGGAACACCCTCCTGGCAGCTCAGAAAGTCGTTTACTAGAGCACAGGAAGAATAAAGCAACTGGGGACATCACAGTGGTCACGGACTTGACAGACAGCAAGAAGCTGTGTATTGTATTACAAAGCTATTTATTTGTATGTTGTCTTTTTTTTCTCCATGGATAGAATCATCGTGGACAAGATGGTTCACATAATTTTGGAACACAATTCCAAACTTTGAGTGTTAGGAAAAACCAACACAATTTGAATGACCATTTTGTTCATCATTTTATGGGTGTTTGTTCATAATGTTTAGATAATAAAGGGTTCATAATACATACTTTTGTTTACATGGTGAGATCTCACACACACTGTTGTAACAACTGTTGTATCGGCCAAATGTGCACCCATGTATGAAACAATTTAGGTTTTACCATAAGTGTGCTTAGTTGTTACAATCCATGTTTTATATCAAATACCTTCTAAGGGAAACATGAAATAGTAAAATAAATCTTCACTTTAGATAACTCCCAGATGCAACCAACAAGGCCATCCTAGTGAGAAGTGATATTCTATTGAAGGAAAGAAAAATATCCAAGGCAGGTGAAAGATCCAGAGCCACTGGAAAGTGGTGATTCTATGAAAACCTGGAGCACTATTCGCCATAGTAATACATATGAAAAAAGTCTTAGGCTTAGCATTTTTCTCTTCTTCCAAGAAAGTATTTGGACAGTAACTTTGTTAAAGAATAATGGGGAAATCCAAAATACATCTAATACTGTGTTTGTCCACCAACATCAAAAAACTTGGTAGAGTATGAAGGAGGATGCCATTAAAGGACAGCAACTAAAAGATTTGCTTCCAAAGTCAGAAATCTAGTAGGAAAGCAGAGCGTTTTCAATGTGCTGAGACTACATCTTAGGATGCAACTGCAAATCTACAGCTGTGTATCCACAGTTCTTCCCTCTTCCCCTATGAAATTTGTTTCTCAAAAGAGATGTGGGCTCTCTAGCACAATTTAAATTAGGAAACACAAGTGAACAGTAGTTAAAGGCTACTTTGAGACTACTAGAGTACTATAACTGGCATTTACTTTACATGCACAAATCCCAGTATGTTCATGAGCTAATGGTGATTTTTATTTTACATGTATCTTTATCAATGCATACTCTTGATCATTTTGTGAAAATAGATTAAATGTTTAAAATTAACATTTCAACTACAGAATAAAACAATTTGAAGAAGGATATCTGTATTCCCTCTCTTTTTGAAGATAGCTGTAAGTTTTGTTGTTGCTCATACATTGTTACCTGAATGCTAAAAAAGAGTTACAAGTTTCCCAAATATGAAAGAAATGATACTATAATAAATTCAATAATCAGTATAGACCAACCTTTGTCTAGTAATCTCAGAAATTTAAATCCAAAGTTCACAAGCACACATTTCAGAAGGGACCTCCTTAACTTTTAAGGGTCCTTAACTCCCCACAACATATGACCCAAAAACTTTAGTTTTGAGCTCATACCCATGGTATAAGAGGGATTATGCTGGAATAATATTCAGGACTCAGCCTTTCCAGAGTCTAACTAAGTGCTGTGAAACAAAAATTCTAACAGTTGCTGCACACCGTAAGGAAGCATTTATTCCAGACTGTTGCAGTGGAGTGGGACGTACAGAGAGGAAAAATGTACTTCACTCTGTACACAGCACAGACAGCTGGAAATTCTGGATTCTGGGCCCCTGAAGAAAGGTGGGGGTCAGTGGGCAGGAAAGCACTAAGAGGAACTTGGTTAGACATTGGGCTTGGGCAGTTCTTGCTAAGCTGGCTCATCAGTATGTTGATAATAACGGGCTACAACTAAGATACTAAGGGGATGAGAAACAAGACGTGGGTAGGGTGGTGGTCTAACAGCTGATTTAGCAGAGTGATTCTCTGCAAAAGTCAAGCTCAGTGGGTGGAATAAGGGCAAGATCTGTGCAAAGAAACTTCCGAGGTGCCCAACTCAAGTTTGAAGAAGCCTGTCAGCAAAGGAAAGAGATAAAGTCACTTCTTTGGTACCATGACTATGTATGGAGTCCATTATACACCGGCAAACACCGGCTTTGTGGAGGAGCTCAGAGACAGATATCTGTGCCTGTGCTGTTGGTGTCTGTGAATAATCTGTGGAAAGGGTCCAAAGAAAGAACAGGAGTCAGACAAAAACTAGAGGATGGCAAGCCAAGGAAGTATGAAAGCAACGGTTGCCATTGCCGCTCAGATGAAAATAAAAGGTGTGAGAGGCGAAGTTCTGGAAATGTAGCCAGATCAACATGCAAAGCAGATTTGTGGAAAACAAGGTAAACCAGAATGCAGAGCATTCTTAATGGTGAAGACTGCAGGTAGAGGCTGGGCTAGGCGGCCACTGATCAGGGCAAGGAGTTGTAAGTGGGCGTGGAATTTGGAGAAGAGATGACATGTTCAGGTTTAAGACAAATTGAGGTGGGAGTGATGACAAAATATGTAAATAAACTCAGAAGTAATATCAGTCCCGGAAAAGGATCGGCACTCATGGCCTGTGGTGAAAATCTAGGATTCATCGCACATGCCAGCCATGGAGTCCCTGCCCTTCCGCATGTGGGCACATGATGTCTGTCTGCTCTTGCCAAAGAGCAGACTTTCCTCTGGCTTGAGCACCCCTCGGGGTTGGAGTGCTTCTTTTGCTTCTCTCTTTTTTTTTGTGCAGGGAGGGTCATTTATTCTTTATTAACGATCTCCATGTAATAGACGATGAAATTTGCCTTCTGGGTTATTAAAATGTCCCAGCCAAGGCCAGATGGATAGTGAAGTTGGGATCAGATTTAAAATAAGATCTGCTGGGATGATGGAATTGGAGCCCATATTTTCACTACCTCATATCACTGCCTTTGATGACCTCTCCCCCTAAAGTCCTTTATCCTGTCAGATGGTTGTGGACCCCACAGAAGGAGCAGCAGCTGGACTGACTAGAGCTATTATCTGGCCTAAACCTTAAGCCAAAACAGTAAATGAGTTTCCTTATGTCATGGCCTAGGTCACCACAGCGGGAAACATCTCAACAGGCAGTGGTTCTCCATGCTCAGTCCTGATGTGAATGCAAACCAGTGTTTCTTCAATTTCTTGTAATAAAATTTACTGCTTAACATTAGCGATAATGAAAAGGACATCAATCTACCAAAGAACACAGCTGATGAAAAGAAACGTGTACCTGAGTAGGAGTCTAGGATGAGATTGAAGTCTAAATTCTGAGTCATGCTTTTATTAACAACTAAGTTAGGTAGAAATATTCTAGGCAGTTGGATGGCTAGGCCTCTGACGGAGACAGTGCAGAGGATGAGAATGCATTACAACTGTGACTTGAGGCGTACCCATTAAAGGTCAGGTCTCAAAATAAAGGCAAAGTGACCAAGCCTCCCTGCCTCCCCCTGGGCTAAGCAACATACTATAATAGGTGTCACCTGGTCCAATAAAGTCTAGATAGGTATCAGTAACCCAGGTGGGTGACCAGGACCTCTTGATTTATCTCTTTCAAAAAAAGGCCCTTGTTCTTTCCATGTACACTTGCTACATGACTTGCTTCCCCATTCGATCAACATTTCCTAAGCAGCTATACTGATAAACTTATTGATTGATTATGCTTTTGTCCTGTGTTGTACCCACCTTATGATTTCACGGCTTAAAACTTCCTTTGAGAAGTGGGCTTCCTGACAACCCACTCAGGCCCTTTCCTGTCTCTCAGAAGCTGTCTCTCCCACAATAAAATTTGCTACTCTTAACCTCTGTTGTTCCTTCAAATTCACTTTTTGATTTTAGAGAACACAAACTCAACCTATCAGAGATGGTAGAGTTATAATATTTCCCTTATATCATTTAGAGGTCCTATACCAATGTCCTTTAGCAAATCGTAATTCTTTACTTTTTTTTTTCTTTTTGTGGTGTTAGAGAGTGAACCCATGGTCCCATATATGCTAAGCAAGAGCTTCACCCAGCCCCTACTCCTCTGTTGAGCTTTCATTTTTCATTTCTCATCTGAAAATAAAGAAGGGCAATTATTTATTTCTTTATGCATTCAAGAAAAACTTATTATTTACTATATGTCAGACTCTGAATTTCTTTGGGCCAGAATTGCTAAAGGAAGAATCAAGATATATGTGAAAATCCATAAATCAAATGCACTATGCTAGCGTCAGGTCATTGTTACTATAAAGAGGATCATTATACTTCTGTCTCACAGTCTTAGAAATAAAGATGTTTTGGCTTCACACTAGACAGGAAGTATTTCAAAGAATCAACAATGGGGAGCTCATCCTATTAAAAAGCTTTTGTACATCAAAAGAAATCACCAACAGACTGAAAAGATAACATACAGAGTGGCGAAAAAATTTAGCCAACTGTTCCTCAAACAAACAACTTTATAACTAGAACATATAAAGAACTGAAAAATCAGAACCACTCCAAATTCAAAGACCCAGTCTAAAAGTGGAACATCTGAGATGAATATGCACTTATTAGATAAAATACAAACAGCAGATAAAGCTATGAAAAACTGTTTAACATCGTGGGATATACAAATTAAAACAACAGTGAGATTCTATTTCACCCCAAAAAGAAAGGCTATCATCAAGAAATCAAGCAATAACAAATACTGGCAGGGGGGGAGGTGCTGTGGGAAAAAAAGCCTTTTCCACAGTTGGTGGTAGTGCATACTGGTTCAACCATAATGAAAATCAGTGTGGAGATTCCTTAAAAAACTAGGATTAGAGGTCCCATCCAACCCAGCCATTCCTCTTTTGAATATCTTCCCAGAAGAATTAAAACCATTATACCACAGAGATAGACATACGTGTACCCATGTTTATAGTAGCATATTTTTTGTTCTGTATTTAGGACAGGGTCTACAGGGTCTCACTATGTAGATCCGACTCTAGTGATTCTCCTATTTTTAGCCTCCCAAGTGCTGGGATTACAGGCGCGCCCCACCATGCCCAGTCTCCATCTCCATCTCAGTGCTGGGAGAAGGAGCAGGAAGGCACGCAAGGGATGGAACCCCAGCTGCTGCACTCTGCCTAAGCAGACTCTTTAGTCCACTGAGCTATCAGGCCAGCCCATAGAAGCCTAATTTGTAATAGCTAAGCCTTGGAAACAACCCAAATGCCCATCAGCCAAAGAATGGTTAAAATGATACAGTATTTTTATACAATGGAGTACTACTCAGTCACAAACAAGGGTAAACTTGAAACTTTTATAAGTAAATGGATGCAATTTGAGACCATACTTGTAAGTGAAATAAATCAGACTCACATATGTAAACATTGTGTTGTCTCCTTGGTGAGGGAAAATGAAAGAATAAATAAGATATAAAATGTACATTAGATATTATGAAATGGGAAGAAATTTTCAAAAGGAAAAAGGAACTAGGATGAGTACAAGGGGAAAGAACAGTAGGAAAAATGACCAAAAAAAAATTTTCAATTATACTATTAGTGTCTCTTAGTTTATTAAGAGGAAGGTTTCTGCTAATGTTGACAGGAGAAATTTTTATGCCCATATCTTGTACCCTGAGCAACTACTTCAAAAATAGTAACACGTGATGTATTAACTATTGTTATTCTAGTATTTGTTATGAAATTTTGTTTTACCTTTTATCCATAAAATTAAAAGAAAAAAAAGATGATTGGACTCAAGATGTAGCTCAGTGGTAGACATCTTGCTTAGCACACACAGGCCCTGTGCTTGACACTAAGCGTTTGAAAATCAACTGAAATAGGTAAAAAACAGGGCTGGTGAGATGGCTCAGTGGTCTAAAGCACCTACTTAGAACAAACTAAGCTAAGCAAAAAAGCACAGCAACCAAGGTTCAATCCCCAGCACCACATGCCAGCCAGCCCTGCCCCCTGGTGGGCTGAGCTGGCCACACACACACACACACACACACACACACACACACACACAAAATACATTTTAAAAAAATAGGTAAAAAACAAAAATAGAAATACAAAATGTCCATAGGAAGTAAGCCCAGTGCTACGTCTTTTAACTTTAAAATGAGGAGTCTTGTGGTAAGTGATTGCCCAAGCTATAGTGAACACAAGCTCATTCTTGTGTGATTTCTAAAGCCAGATTCCTATTTGATTAGAGAAAGGATCCTTTCTGATAAATCTCACTCCTTGCTGGGTGGATGTGATGTGGCTGATAACACACTCCGACTGGAACAGGGTTTTGAGACTTAGAAAAGCAGAAGTTGAAGTTCTAGGTGAAACGGCACCCTGACACATGAAGAGAGCGTATTTGTAAGAGTTTGGGGGAAAGTTCAATGCTGTGGGAAGCCCCTAGAGTCAGAGAACGTAATGGCAATAATTACGCGTCTTGTCCTTCGTAGTGAGATTCATCCTAACTATGCTAACATTGAGAAACTGTAATTGTGTCAAGACTTTCTATTCATAAGATGCACCCAAACTAAATGTCATTTTATTTCAACAGAGGATTATTATTATCATCACTATTATTATTATTCCTGCTCTTAGTGGTATATTTATTGGTTCTCTCTCACCTGATCACTGGAGCATGAATTTAGGCATCCTTTATAAAACTTGGCGACTCATCATTCTGCTTACTCAGAAAAATACCAAACCGCAGCATAACAGGAAGGGAAATGTCATATTTGAAATAATTATATTTATGGCAGTTGTCAAAAGTGAAACGATGTAACAATATATAAAAGGAAATTTATTTTTTAACGCACTCAAGGCGGGTACCCCGGGCATCCTGCACGCCCAGCCCCTGCTTCCCCAACCCCAAGTGGAACTTTAAATCTGGTCTTACACAAATTTGACTCCTCTCCTACAGCCACGCTGACAGAGCGTTCTGTCTTGCAATGCGGTTCAGTGTGTGAGGAAGGAATGCCCAACTGACTACAGCGCTGGGGAGGGTTTGTTGTCGGGTTTACCCGTTTCCTGATTTGCAAACCTCTCCGCTGGAAGCCACAGCAGAGCTAGTCCAGCTCTCTTCACACTAAGGGAAACGTCCCCAAATTCCCTTTCTTTTCTGTTTTAAGAACTTTCACAGACACAAACATGCCCATAGGTAACTGGAAACCTGTGTTTCAAAGGAAACCTGATCACGCTGCCAGATAACGCAGGCTTCCTAAACAGGTGCGGGAGCGCCCGGAGCCTTCGCGCCACTGCCAGAAATGCATATTTTGTTGATTGGTAAGAACTGACAGGTGACGCTTCCCGAAATATAAATGCAAGAAAGACGCAGAGCTCAATAAAACCTGCCACCTGCCAGCGTAGGAGGGTTGGAGAAAGAAAGTCAAGCGGCCACTGGATATGGCTCTGGGAGTCCCAGTGGCAATCTGTCTTTTCTGCAATGGTAGGTAATTACCTTTTCATTTTATTAACTTTGTGTCACTGTGAACTATAAATGGAATTTATTTTCTCTGAATTAGGAGAAAAGTTAGCTTCTAACAGTTGTTTCTGACGAAGATTAAAGCAAGGAATCTGTGCAGTAATTTAAGTTTTTTAGGAAATGTATGTTCCCGCTACTGATAGATTTTGATTCCTCCTTTTTAAAAGCTCCAAAATTTTTGCTTCATACAAAGGACAGTTGACACGTTTACCCACTATAGTGCAGCAAAGAAATACTTTAATTTAATATGTAAATGTATTCATCTTCTCTTAAAAATTACTGTGTTTCTATTTCTCATAATTAGAATGTAGTTAGTGGAGCTGCTGAGAATCGGCTGGGAAACTGTCCTCATTAGGTTCTGTATTTCAAATGAAATTAATTAAAAACTGAATGAAACATGAGAACAGAGTGAGGCTGGCTGGGTGCACCACGGCTGGCTGCCTGGAGAGAGGCTCACCTGTTCTGGCTGCCTCCCCCACCCCCACAGCACTCACCGCCCTGACTGCTGAGGCCAACTGGACTGAGATGTCGCCAGGCACAGCCCCCCGAAGCAACAGGACTGCTAATGAGACCCAAGGTACTGTCTGCCTCTCTTGGTATCCCGAATATCTTCCTTAAATCCTTCGTGAGAAATCTGGATTATGATAGAAGCAACACTGGAAATTTCTAAGTACCTATTAGGTGATCAGCTCTTTTATTTAGTGAGAGGGTGTTAAGCTGAAGTGACAGATGGAGATGTTAGCCAAGAAATGCCTTTTGCAAAAGCGGAAGTGAAACAGAAAGAAGAGCTGCCTCCAGCGGCTGCAGTCCAAAAGTGAGACAGCCACACCTCCTGGTGGCTTTCCACTTGGCTGTGTGTACTGTGGTGGCTCCCTGCCCTGTGTGGGATCTTGATGATGGATATATATTGATTTGTGACTGTATATTTACCAGCCAAATTATGGCCACTTGAGTCATCTATGGAAAGATCTTTCTCTCGGTCGTCTTTTGGGGGCCTCTGTTGTTTCAGCCAGTGCTCCCTTTCCTAACGGCTCGTGCCCGATGTCTGTTGGTGATGCTGGTGCTATAGCTTCTTTCCAGTCTTATTATTACTACCATCAGCGGTAGCTTCTGGCTGCTATGAGCAGCAACATTCCTTTCAACCCTGCTCGAACCGGGATGACCTTGGAGAAGAAAGCTTGCCACCTGTGAAGACTTGTGCCTGAGTGGCGGTTCTCATGGGTCTCCAAGTGCCCTTGGTGTGATGACCTGTAGTGTGACAGGGACAGAGGAAACACCACACTTGGTCCTCACAGCCAGGCAAACAAAAGAGCAAGTCAAGTATTTTGTTTCTACATTGGAAAGACAGTAGTACTTAACTGTTCTTTATTTCATCAAAAATGATATATTTTAAACAGCTTAAAATATCTTACCCATTTGATTTTTTTTTTTTTTAGTATCAGTTTGCGACAGTGTGAGCTTTACAGTACATTTCAGCCAACTTCATGTCTTCCGTGCTTTTCAGTGAAGAGGGAACATTTGTATTAAAATATGACCAGTAATATTATAGAAAGATGAGAGAGGTGTGGACTCCACACAGCGATGGATGGCAGGACATTATTCCCAGTGCTTTTTCCTTCCTGCAAATAGAATTCTTCAAATTTCACATAATAGGAATGGGAAGAAAGGAATTGAGTGTCGTCACTTTTCTTCTTTGCCTTTTTTTTTTTTTTTTTTTTTTTTTTTTTTTTTTTTTTTTTTTTTTTTTGCGGAACCAGGGATTGAACTCAAGTCCTTGCACTTGCCAGGGAAGCGCTTATTCTATTGAGCTGTCTCCCCAGCCCTTTTCTTTGCTTTCTTAATAGAGAACTCCAGCTTTTCTTTTTGCTTTCCACTCAACTTAAAAATATGCATCCAACATCCAAAGATTTTTTTCATAAATTTATAACTAATGCTCTAAGCGGAACAAAGTCCTCTTGTGTATGCTTTCCTGGGATCTAACTCCTTTTGGTCCTTACGTTTTCTAGGAAATCTTGTTTCAGGCTTGATTATTTGTTCAGTTTGAATTAAAAGGAACTCAACATAATCCATAGTGGGAAACTCTCACTGCCTCAAAATTCATTATTAAGATGATAAATTTGCCATTTCATATTTAAAATGCATGTGAATTTTAAGGTAATATGTTTTTGCAAAGTGAGGATACAACATAGTCTCTTGATGGTATGTTAGTACCTAAAAACAGTATTTTCAAAATAAAAATAATACCTTTAGATCTGTTTTATTTCTAAAAGCAAATAAGTAGGATTATCTTTATCAAGGCAAATACAGTTACAGCATAATGTTGATGATGAGGATCTGGGATTATCTATAAGGATGACAAAATCAAGTGCTATTAATCTGCTGGAGACAAATTTAAGAATTCGTAATTAAAGTATACCCAAAGGGAATCAGTTCTACACAAAAGCCTTTCCTCTGTGTAAACACCAAAGGCAGTACAAGGATGTCTCCAGCTCCCTGCAGAGCCAGGGCAGCCTCCTGAACCCCCACATCTGTCCAAACACCCCTTCCTGAAGAGTTTCCCATTGGAAGTTTCTAGATATTGGACTGTAAAAGTTATGTCCCTCAGTGATACTGACACTGGGGAAAGAAACGCCACCTAAAAGATATCTGGGATGAGTTCATGTTCTCTACAACTGAAGAATAAATATTAGGATTAATGGAGGTTAAGAGCAAAATATATTTATTGAGGGAAAGAAAGCTGTCCAAGAGAGGGACAGAAAGGGATCTGAATAGATTGCCAAAGACCCTGCCTTTTCTAGGTGTTCTTTAGAGCAAAACCCCAAGGTGAGGTGGGCCTAAAGTGGGAAACGTGGGAACTAGCTAGGTGGGCACAAGGTAGGACAAAACTATGGCCAACCAATAAGATTAAAAGTATAATTGCTCATGTAAAATTGATTCAATCAGGATCAAATGGGAAGGGAGTCAGGTAGCAAGCAGAAATGAATATACAATAGGAGCTTTTCCTGTAGGAGGTTGGATTACCTAGCTCGTCCTGGCTTTTTCAAGGTGACTACTTGATGCCTGTCCCAAGGGAGGTATGGGGCTACATTTGTTTACTCTTTTGTCTAGAGGTCTGGCCCACAGTGAAGGTACTTGCCTCTCCCACAGTTGCAAGGTATCTTGGCCTCCTGTTGGGTCCTTCCAGGATTTAACCCTGTCTTACTGCATATATTTCTATCTAACTCAGCTGCCTACAATACTTGCATAGTGCTAGAGCTAAAGATAAAAACTGCAAAGTCCGCAGCTTCTACTCCTGCTTCACAGTGCCTCTTCATTGAGTGAAACTTTAATCGCTATCAAAGGTACTGGTCTCAGCTAGATCTGGTGTCTTGTACAGGACACAGCAAACCTCTTGGAAAGACATCAGGGAACTTGTACCATTGCAACCACCCCCAGGGGAAGGAATTCACACCACTGTTTCCTCTAGGAGAGAAAAGAACTAAATTTACTGTCTCATCGGTATAAATCCAAATCTTCCTAAGTGCTCACTGCAGCATATAAGAGAGAAAATGCAGATGTGAACACTGCTGTCTTGCTTCACACACTGTGGGAGTCTTGCTTACAGCAACCTGCTGAGTCCAGACTCAGTGCTGCCACCTCTAGGCAAACCTGTCTCCATGCCTTTCAGTGTGGCTTCTAAAGGATGGGGCAGTTGTCCACTCACCCTACACTCTGATTAATTAATGATCTATTGAGAAGACATCAACCCAGCCCTGCCAGGGGAATCTGTAGTCCAAAGGACCAAACACTCCCCTAAACCTCAATTTAAGTGTGTCTTCACTTGTGTACAGAACATTTATCATGAAAGCTGGACACACTTTCTCTGTTCACATGAGTCTCCTTTTCATAGCTGACTCTGTGGAAGGACCCATCGCCCTGAAGTTCTCACATCCCTGTCTGGAAGACCACAGCAGCTACTGTATCAACGGCCTGTGTGCCTTCCACCATGAGCTGGGCCAGGCCATCTGCAGGTAACACTGAGCCCACCCTGGCTGCCGGCAGAAGGGGCTCCCGGCTGTGTCTTCACACAGTGGCCTCCATGTTGCTCTTCTCTCTGTCTTGTGGAAATAGTGGTTGATCTGAGCATGACTTGTCAATCTTCTCACACCTGAATATCTCCGGAGCCTTTTTCTAACTATGTAATCCCCACTATTTAAAAATACAATTCCCAGATTGGTAGCATCTGGGGACCTGCATTTTTTAAACATGAATAGGTGATTCTTAGTTTTCACAGGATTGTTTGTGATAAAATTTAACAGTCTAAGACAAAAAAGCTTTCTGTGAATCTAAAGTTCTAAAACAAGCCACTGCTTTAATAATCATTAATTTGCTAAGTTTTCATACAAGTACACTCTTCCCCATCTACCATAAAGGTGAAAATACAAGGCCTTAGTCAAAGATTATAACATCAATGACTATTTCTTACCTTCAGAATACTGACTACCTGGTAGTTGACTCTACAGTTTATTTTCTTTTCTTTCTTTTTTTTTTTTTTCTGTAGTTTAGGGAAGGGTATATAGGGTGTTCAGGGTCTCAATACTAGATTGGACTCATAGTGATCTGCCTGTTTACAGCCTCCCAAGTGCTGGGGTTATAGGTACGTACCACCATGCCCAGTCTCAGTCATCTGAGTGCACCCCAGGGGTGGGGCCGGCAAGGCAGGCCTGGGGATTGAACCCCTGGCCCCTGTGTCTTCTTGCAGGCACTTTAATCTGCTGAGCTATTTGGCCAGCTCTAAATTACTTCCTATGGTGGAATAGGGAGTACTGGGCCTTTGTCCTGAACTGCCTTACCAGCACTTCTTATTCCTGCCTTTGAGAGAGGCTCTCACTAGATTGCTGGGTTCAATCAGGCTGGGGTTGAACTTGTGGCCTTCCTACCTCAGCCTTCCAGAGTGCTGGGATTTCAGATACACCTCCATGCCTGCTTTTTCCTCTTTCTTTTATAATATATTATTTTCATATTTCTGTCATCAAAGGTTTTATAATGTTGTATCCCCTTCTCTTTTTAAAGGTGTTATACTGGTTATACTGGAGAAAGATGTGAGCACCTGACCTTAACTTCATATGCTGTGGATTCTTATGAAAAATATATCGCAGTTGGGATTGGCGTTGGATTACTATTAAGTGGTTTTCTGGCAATTTTTTACTGCTACATAAGAAAAAGGTATGAACAAGACAAACTATGAAGTGAACTTACATGTATTCATACTTATTAAGCCCATACCAAACCTGGTTATAATAGATTTTTAATTTTAAAAAAAAAGAATATAAATCTGAGAACATATTTTTAACTTCTTTTCTCATTTTCATTCTCCTGGAAACGCAGGAGAATGGTAAAAAGTGACTTCAATAGGCTGATCCAAATTCACAATTTCTGTGTTTTTGTCTGCCTAAGTCAAAATTATAAAAAGGAAAATAATAATAAAGCAGGCCAGCAGGCCCCTTGTGCTCGGAACCAAGGGTGTCTTGCTGTGGTGATACATCGTGGGTCTAGCTCTACACCTCTCACACAGCAGTCACAGAATAAGCATTTGTTGACCAAAAATGAGCATTGAATAAAAATATGTGGTGAACACAGACTACTTTCTCCCCAGACTTCAATTGGGGGGGGGGGGTCTTTGGAATATATTGTGTACAGCTAAACCCTAAGATGATAAACTTGATCTACAAGTAAGTATAAAGTACTTACACATTTATGGTTATTCATAAGTAGGAAAAAGCCAAAAAATAATGTGAGACACATTGATTTTTTTAAAAATACAAATAAATATATCCCCCTGCTGTTCTTTACTACGTTGTCACTTTTTCTGGGGGGGGGGGAGTGGAACTGGGGATTGAACTCAGGCCCTTGCACTTGCCAGGGCAGCGCTTATTCCACTGAGCCATCTCCCTGGCCCCTTAAGTTGTCACTTTTAAATGACTAAAACTAAGGGCCAGTGAGATAGTTCAGCAGAATAAGTGCTTGCTTTGGCAAGCACAGGGACTGGGGTTCAATCCCCAGCACCACATGGCATGCCAGCCCTGCCCCTGGGTGAACTGAGCTGGCTACTGAGACCCAGCATGGTGGTGCATGCCTGTAATTCCAGTGCTGGGAAGGCGAAAAACAGGAGGATCATTACAAGTCTGAGCTGCATAGTGAGACCCTGTACCAAATACATAAATTAAAAAATTAAAAATAACTTTAAAAAATGACTAAAACTGCCGCCCAAAACTAGAAAAGTCCATTTTGCTTAACAACTAATCTTAGAGAAAAATCAGACCTATACAGTGTTATATCAGTTGCATATTTGTCAAAGAGACCAAGAATAATGAGAGGAAGAGGAAGGAGGCACAGGAGAGACCCACTGAAGTATACACCCTATCTGGGGACAGGCTCCCAAGCAGAGCGCAGTGTGGGCTGTGGGAGCAAGGACAGAAGTAACTGTCAAGGAATCTAGTTCCTTCCTTTCAGTTATGTTTCTGTCACATAATTCAAAAGTGTAATGGCAGAAGGAAAGCAGGTAGAGAGCAGTGAGCTGAAGCCAAGATTGACACTCTGCCTGAGTCCATGTAAGATCTAGAACACATGTGACATCACAGGCCTAGCCCACCAGGAGAGCAGTCTTGGGTTTAGTCAGTCGTGTGCCAGAAGAGCTCATGGGAGGCAGGGGTTTGATCTCCTAGGACCCTCCTGGTGGGCTGTGCTATGCTGACAGCTAATCCTCAGGAGGAAGACATGAGCCTGTGGACGTCACAGTCCTAAGGGCTGGATCCACCAGTGGTCAGGGGAGCTGGGGAGGTTGCTACGTGCAGCCGCTAGAACACTGCATGGGTGAATCCACAGTGATCAGTGTAAAACTGCTCCTCTGCTTTAGGTGTCTGAACCTGAAATCTCCGTACAACATGTGTTCTGGAGGAAAGCAGCCACTCTGAGGCCTTTGGAAAGCATCATCTTCGAGGGTTTTGTGAAAAACCTATGGGCCTCAAATGGAAATCTTCAAATAAACAAAAATGTGCCAAGCCGACTAGACTTGAAAATGACAGAAGCTGGGATCACAGTACTGAGAGAAGGTAAAATTCAGCTCTGGTCTTCAGACTTTGCCACCCTTGGGTGTCACACAGCCAACTACGCAAGCTGCAATGGCAGAGGTGCTCCTGTGGGGCGACTGTTCTCACTGCAGAAGAACTGCCTCATGCTTCTCACCATGTCAGAGGTGCGCCTGCCTGGGAAAACCCTCAGCTTTGCAGCAGGCCAAGCGGTGCCAAGCATGGGCTCTCCGCGTGTCTGCTGTCCACCGCTGTGGCCATCCACATGGGCTCTTGGTGCACTCCAGGACCTAATTCCAAGCTTTCTGCCTTCATAATGTCTAACTGACTGGATGTCAACTTTCAGGATGAGATCAGTGTTACAGTACCTCGGGCGAGCTGAGCATGTGCCTTACAGCCAGTCCACAGAAGAGAAACTGGAATGTCCAAGGGAAGCACGATCCACACCCAGCGTGTGACCATACTTGCAGCCTTTATCTGTGAAATATAGAATAAGCAAGAGGTTCTGAGGGCTGGAAGCTATCCAGACACCACGTCCAGAGCAGGCAGAGCACTTCAGTTCCTGTATTGATCATGGACTTGCTTGTCCCATGTGCTTTTGTTTGTCACTTCTCTTCAATAGTTCCCTCCACGGTGACAGTGGAGCTACCAGGTAACCATCCAAGTGGACTGAACTCCCTAATGACAAAAGGCTTGCAATTCATCCTGAAATAGAAACTGAAGGACTAGAGAAGGGAATATTTTTTTTCTTTCATCACCTAATAACAGGTGGAAGCAGCTGCGTTTCTGAAAGCTTGTAACAGATTTGAACAGGGGAAGAATGAAGCAGTGGTTAGAAAAACTATTTGGGAATCAAGTTCCTTCCTCTCCAATTCTAGTTCTGCCACATAGCTTCACTAGCTTATGTAGGTTCCTTAATTTCCTTGGGCTTTGGATTTATTTCTCCAAGGCCCTTGTACCTCTAAACTTGGATAATGAGAAAAGCAAACCGGGGTGCATGTGTGCCAGTGAGATTGTTCCTCATGCCTCTGCATCCAGCCTCACCTGCAGCCCCAAAGCACGCCGCTGAGTATTGTCCTAGGTATATGGATGTTACTGTTCCATTTGTAAAATAGTAATTTATTTTTAAAAGAAATGAAATAAATTTAACAGCTACCATTTTTCTTTTCAGATTCAAACTAAAACTAAGGACTCTTTTTCTCAGTGTGACGTAAATAAGCCAAGCAATTGTGTTGGTTGCCAGAGGGCCAAACTTGAGTGTTCTTCTATCACAGTGTGGTAGCAAGCCTTTCATGTTCATGAACTTCAGGCTTTCCTTAACCCCTTAAAAGGTTTATGCTCTGCTTTCCTTGTTTGTCTCTCAGAAGGAATTTGCTGTAGCTAAGTGGTTGGGCAGAGATTTGTGCCACCCTTCACCTTCTGTGAAGGTTACGTCAGGTGGGTGGGGAGGGAACGTTCCTTCTAGTGAAGCCAGTAGCCGCACCTAGAAAGCTATGCACTTCCTGGACATTGTAGAAAGACATAAAAGAGCAGGGGAGAGTTGGGGAGAAACAATAAAGGCCTAAGGAGGGAAAGGAATTAATGCTGGAGGGTGCAGAGGGGAAAACCCAAGACAATCTTGGATACTCAGTGACTGTGTTGGCCAATTTTAAACCCAGTTACATTGAAATTAGAACATTTGACAAAATAATTAAAACTCTCAAGTTGCTAAATCAAAGCATTAGCCAAAACAATAATATGCTATTTGTTTTCCCCCAATTTTATACTTCATTAGCAGTATAAAATTGACCCAAGGAGACTATTCCAGAAACTAAATACAGTTGTGCGTGCTCTGTCACAGGGAATCTTCACATGACCCAGGGTCAAATCATCTCTAACAGCCAAGTTTAAGTTTGCAGGAGGGAGTCTCATGCATTTTCATGGAGCCAGGCTGTACCTGGCCATACATGTGTACATATACAGCACGTGACGGGAAAATGTTTCAATGCAAGATGATCTCACATGCTCGCATCTTCTATTTTTATTCCTATATCCAATATGACCCTGAAAAGAGCCAATTAGTTTAGTCGTGGCATGAGAACTGCACTTTCAACTATCAATCAAGGATGATTAAATTGAGTAGATCATTCAACAATGAAATGACGACATGCTTCTGGCATCTTTGACTAAATCAAACTAGCCAAAGAATTCATTGCCTCATTTCACTCCTCTTTTGTCTCCTCCCTGTATCTGTCCCTTGGTTTACTGAAAGCACATTCTTCCAAGTCGGTATTCACTGGTGAATCACTTGTACGCACGTTGGAGTACGATGGGGTGAGGGAGAGCAGTGTAGTCCCCACTGTTCCTGGGCCCATGAACGTACATGAAAGGAGTTCCAACTGCTTCCCACTGTGACCTTTTCCCCCAGGTTACCTTTTGGCAGAGCCATGTTTTCATAATACTTGCAGAAGATGAAGTTGTTACATAGTCCATTTTTAGTGTTTACTGACATGTGACAGGTCTGATCCTTTGATTTTGACATGTCTGTTTTGATAACATCAGTAAGATTTCCATTCATTATATTTAATTGAAAATAGTGCCTTAGGGCTGGTGAGATGGCTCAGTGGTCTAAAGCACCTACTTAGAACAAGCTTAGCAAAGCACAGGGACCACGGTTCAATCCCCCAGCACCACATGCCAACCAGCCCTGCCCCCTGGTGGGTGGAGCTGGCCACACACACACACACACACACAAATAAAAAAAATTTTAAAAAGAAAATAATGCCTTAAAGATAACAACAGAAATGTAAGCTTTTGACATTCAACACAAGAACTGACGTATGCTGAAATTCCGAGGAAGCCATCTGCCCTTTCTGCCTTACACAATGTATCGTGCTTTTTGAGTGTGATAATATTGATATCCTACAACCCACACTCCTGGGAAGGGCTACCAGAATCTATTGCAAAATACCACTCTTTGTAGCTTACATCACAGCTGACATCAGTTCTGAGCACCTGCCAAAATGGACTGCAAGTTTTGAAACTTAATTTGTCAGAATCTGACCCTGTGACTCAGGATGGGTCCACATCTCTGTCCAAGCCTTTGGTGCAGGTCTGCTCAGTAACCTGTTCAGAAGCATACCCTTCAAATATGGTATGAAACTTCTTGTAATTATTCAACCAGTCTATGCCCACTCCAATGTGACAAGAGCCTGAGTAACCCAATTCCTAAGAATGTCAAGGGTAAACCTACAGTATCCATGTTAAAAAATAAATGAATGGCACTGTCCCAGTATTTGACTCCTCTGAGCAAACTAACATGATGCAGGTTCCAGATTGCAGGCAACACCTGAAGTTTGTGAAGAGACACTCCACAACAAAGGAATGTGTCGTATGGTAACAAGGAGAACTGGGCTGTTTAGTCAGGTCTTATCCAAACACCTCATGGCCTTTCTTTGTCATCTGTATGTCCTAGACATTGCAGCATAAGTTGTCTAGATCGAAGTTTGGCTAAGACTAAGGTCAAGCGACTACCAAACTAATAGTTCTTTTAACCTCTAAAAGGGCACCAAAGTTAGGCTTTGTATCTTTCTTGAAAGAATGGCATCTCTACAACTTTAAAATAGCACAAAAATATTGATTTAAAGCAACAGTGTTAAGTCAAAAAAATTTAAAAAATAAAGCAACAGTGTAACAGGTACCATTTATGAACACTTACATTGTTTGAAAGTACTCTTCACATTATTTTAATTAATTCCCACCTATGCATAGCTGAGGAATCAAGATGGCAGTTCCCTAGTTCAGCATTTCACAGCATTTAAGTGGTGGAGCCAGAACCAGAACCAGAATCAGATAGATACAATTCCAAAACCCTGTGCTCCAGAGGAAACCAAAATGTATCCCAATACTTTAAGGGAGAATATTTATGCTGTGAGTTAATTTCTTAGTGCACTGAGCAAAGTACTCCAGTGATCTGTGTGCAAATGGGAACTTCCTTCCTTGGCAATATATAAAATAACCTTTGTCATGGACCAAGCACAAATTTCCCCATTGTTATTTGGAGATTAAGAGAATTTGGGCCACTAGAGAATATGAGAATAGCCCACCTTGGGTGGACAGGTGTCTCTCATCTTGTGTGGCATCATGGGGATGGACACACCTGGCCAGGGTGGGGACAGGGGACTGAAGCACACAGGTGAACCCTCCATCTCAGTGAACCCTTCCTCTCTTCTGTTGTACCCCAATGTAGGCTTTGGAGAAAAATGCTGTCATGGTGGTTAAGCTTATGGTAAAAATTGAAGGCAGTGTTCAAATTTCGTGCAGTGGATTGGCAGGTAGATGACCTGTGCTCTAACACAGCTGTCATAGAACTATGTGCTTACCTGTTCGGTTCTTTGGATGTCATAGTCTCATGAGTGGAGAAATTAGAATCTGAAGGTGACTCCGTGTTCTCTAGGGAGGATCTGTGTTGAGAGCGTGAAACTTGTAAGCTGATCCAGAGCACAGATGTATACCTTTTGGCTCTTCTGATGTTTGATTTAAGTCAAGCCCACATTGAGAAACCAAGATGTCTTATTGTATGTATCTAGCTTCTTTTGAAAAACAAAAAGTGTAAAGATTGCCCTCGCTACCCGCACATCTAGGAATGTGTCCTCAACACCCAGCCGTCTTCTGCTGCTCATACCACCAGTTCTGGGTTCCCCTGGGCCTCTAAACCAGCACTTGTTTTGGGGTAATCTGGAGATCTTTGCTCCTCTGAATTCTTCTGGAGCTAATCAGCAAGGTGCCTGTAGGGGGCCCTGTTGTACTGCAAACCCCTCCTGCCATAAAAATACTCAGATCAAAGAGTGGCCCAGGAATGCACTCTCTGCAAAACCCACACTCACCTGGAAGCTGGCGGGTGGCACATGGTGACTCAGACTCTGCCCTGCCCATGCCCCCAGCCACTGTCTGCTCTGTCCGGCCCTGGTCAGCGTTGCCTTCTCAGCACATCACCTGGGAGGGTCGCCTCCTAGACCATATGGTAATGGCCTTAGTAAGGACACAGGGAGGCTGTCCTAGGCTGTGCAGTGGCCTCTCCCACCTCCAAAGCCATCACCTTGCACCAAGGAGAGTGCTCTGCTCCCCAGGGGACTCCATGGTGCCTGTCTGCAGTCACCTCCCTGCCTGCCAAGGTCCTACTCATGTTTTTCAAGGACTATCTCCTTCAAGAGTGTGCTACTTACAGACATCATGGCTTCCTCCTTTGAACATCTTTAGCATCCTTTTAACTTCTCCACAAGTATAGTAAATCTACTACATGTTATAGAAATTTATATTCTTGGCTAAATTCCACTGGTAACAGTAATACCCTTCATTCCTTAAGTGCGCAGCACAGACTGGGTACAAGAGCCAGAGAAAGGCCATATTGGGAGCTACGGCAAATCATGGTTAAGGCTGCCTGAGGCTTAGCTGCAGCTGCATACCTTCCCACCAGCTGTCCTTTCTTAAGCAAGTTCCTTTATTTTCTAAGGTCAAGATTTGCCATTTGTAGACAGAGAATTCATGTATCTCATAGAACATCTGAGGGTAATAAGTGCTCAATGAATGTGAGCTTTTTTATTGTGACTATCTCCTATTTTTTTCAGTCAACCTGAATGTAGAAACTCCAAATAACTTGTTTAAGACACCTCTCTGGCACATGGCAGAACCTGGATTTGATCACAGGGCTGTTCTGTCCCAAGTCCTGGGGTCTTCCCTAAGCAGGTGTGTCCCTGGTGCTGGCTTCACTGGGCAGGGTGCATTCAGCAGGGCTGTGCTGTGACTCACATTGTTAGATATGTGGTGAGTGTTCTAACTCCAACTCTTTCCTACATTTGTAATTGCAGATGAATAGCTTTAACCCTTAGAAGTCCCAGTAGCCTCCTTTAAAATGAGATTCTTTTAGGATTAAGTTAATTCAGAGAGCTAATGTACATAGACCCAGTGCCCATCCAAAGACTATTAGATATTATAATCACAAGCACTTGAAACTTTCCTACTCATACTCCATAGAGTCCATTTTAGTATAAAGTGATATATTTCTAAAAATCACATTGCACAGTTGAGATAAAAATCCAGGGCTAACTGAAAAATTGAGGTCTGGAAAAATATTGAAAAGCCATCACCAGAACCAGGCATAGTGGTGTACACCTGTGACCCCAGCACTAGGGAG